ACGGCACTTAACAACAACAACAACAACAATGAAGCAGTGATCTAAAAAATTATAAACATGTAAATTAGATTATTGGGATGTTATTTATTTCTAGGAAATTCTTAGAATTCTTTTAGCATATTTAGAACCAGATTGAACTACACAGAAATACATATTTTAATTTTTTTATAGTTATAGGTTACAAATGTTTTTTATTAAATAATTCCAACATACAAGAAAGATTAGAGAATGATATAATACCAAGAACATAGTTATTAAACTACAGGTTCTGGAGCAAGAATCATGGCATTATATCTTAGTTTCATTATTTACTAGTTTTATAACTTTATATAAACTACTTCGTTATCATTCTGCTTCAGCTTCCTCTTATTGCTAATTGTTTTAATAGTTTTGCAAATAGATTGTAGTTGTACAATTCTCTAATTGATATATAATCTCTAATATTTTATGTAAAATGGAGACAATAATAACAGTCTTTCTCCAAGGGGTTTCTAGGATTGTATGTGTAAATGCTCAGAAAAGTACCTGGTTCATAATAAGTGCTCAAATGTTAGCTGCGAATCTTCTTTTTCTTCTATTTATTATTATTGTTGTTGTTATTGGTACTTGCTTTTCAAAAAGTATTTTAAAAATAATATTTCACTGAGTTTTTAAAGAGAGTTTATATAGCAAATTAGGTTCCCATTTAACAATTACTATATAAATTGTTCCATGACATTGGTTACATTTTTCATAGTGTGTCAACATCTATATTTTAGATGGCCTACTTCCAGTAACCTGATTTCCCTATCCCCTTTGTTTAAATCTTTGGTCTCATAAAGGTGATTTTTTAAAGTTGTACAATACTCACAGGTAATATTCTTTTTATGAGCCAATCTATTATTTAGCTAAAAGGTGACCTCAGGGGATAGTTTTGGTTCAAGTTTTAAAGAGTATCTTTATAGGATGATAGTCTCAGGGAGACCTCTAGTCTCAACAGCCCAGTAAGTCATGACATTTTAAGAATTTAATTCTGTTCCATGCTTTTCTCCCATTTTGTCAAGATGTATCTAGTATGGATGGCCCTGATGAGAATAGTTGTTAGTGGTCGCCAGGCACCATCTTGTTCTTTTGGTTTCAGGGTAGATGAGGCAGTAGTTTGTGTAGACTGTTAGTCAAGTAGAGTAGTTACTTTTATGAGTCTTTGATTTCTTTCTTTGTTTTCCTCCAGATTAGAGACACTGATCGTTATATCCTAGGTGGCTGCTTGCAAGCTTTTACAACCCCAGACACTACTCACCAAACTAGGATGTAGAACATAAACTTTATGAACTATTTATTATGCCAGTAGACCAAGTTGTCCCACAAAGCTATAGTCCTGAGCCTTTAAACTCAGAAAACTGATCTTGTGATGTATTTGGGTATGCCTAAGAAGTATCCGTAACTGTGCCTTATGTGGTTTATTTTATATATATATAGATATATATATATATATACACACACACACACACACACATACATACATACATACACACACACACATATGTATATACATACGTATGCATGCACATGCACACACACACATGCACATATATATAAAATCACATCATATATGTAAAATCACACATATGTTTTTGGTTGTTGGTGTTGCAACATCATATATATCATACCCTTTATCACCCTTTTTGCTTGTGTAGTTTTTAGTGACATCATTTACTTTGATCAAGCTGTGCTCTTCACTCACATTAGGTGGTACCTTTTATTTGCTTTTTGTTTTCTTTAAATGAAAAAAAATCTAATACCCAATTTTGGCGGTGTAGTGGTTAAGGCTTTTCTTCGAACCAAGATCCGTCTGACATCAGATGACATCAGATGGCTTAAAGCAAAGAATACCAGAAGAATGTTTACTTGTTGACTATTCAAAAGCATTTGATTGTGTGGATCATAACAAATTATGGATAACATTGAGAAGAATGGGAATTTCAGAACACTTAATTGTATTCATGAGGAATCTGTACATGGCTGTTGTTCAAACAGAACAAGGGAATACTGCATGGTTTTAAATCAAGAAGGGAGTGTATCAAGGTTTTATCCTTTCACCATGCTTAAATCAGTCTGTGTGCCGAGCAAATAATCCGAGAAGCCAGACTATATGAAGAATGTGGCATCAGGATTGGAGGAAGAATCATTAACAATCTGAGATACTCTGACAACACAACTTTGCTTGCTCAAAGGGAGGATGACTTGAAACACTTACTGATGAAGATTGAAGACTATAGTCTGCAGTATGGATTACACCTCAATATAAAGAAAACAAAAGTCTTCACAACTGGACCAATAAGCA